ATGTGATGGTTAACCTGTTACCTCGTCTCCTTTCCTCCAGCCCTCAGCATTGCTTTCATCTCCTGAAAATGACACCGACATGAAACTGGATCAGAGGAAGATATGTCATCAACACTGTCATGATTTTACCCTGTCAGCAAACATCTGTTCAGCATCCCTTATCCAGAGCCACACTATACAAGACTCCAAGGATGGGAACTACACTTAGGGAAAGAGGTTGAATTAGACATCATTTTCTGGGTCATTGGGAGCTAACTCAGTGGGTAAAAGCACTTGCAGACCTGGTGACCTGCGTCTGATCATCAATACTCCTTTTTTAAAATAAGCCAGATGCAATGGTGTGTGTGTGTGTGTGTGTGTGTGTGTGTGTGTGTGTAATCCCTGCATAGCTACAGTAAAATGGAGTGGAGACAGGAGAGTGGCTGGAAGTTTATGGACCGTCTGCCTTAGAGTACACAGCAGAAACGCAATTCTGCATCAGAAAGAAGGTGAGAGAACCAACTTCTGAAAGTCCTGGCCTTTGTGTGAGTGACTCACCATACATACAATAATAAGATATATTTTTGAGACAGAGTCTTACAATGGAGTCCTGGCTGATTTGGGACTCACTTTGTAGTAGACGCTGTCCTGGAACTCACAGAGATCCACTTATCTCTGCCTGCCAAGTGCTGGGATCAAAATAATAATTTTAAAAATTAAAAACTATACTGCAGTTTCCACAGTCACAGAGTTCACCCAGCATCACCTTGCCCATGCGCTTTGCCTCCCAGAAAATGTTTGAAATCAATACAAGTCAATGCCCATGCAAGAGCGGTAATGGAGGGCCTCTTGTTTTAAGCTCAAGGAAGTAGCAGAGTAGTTCAGATGAGAGTCAACGATTTATAAACAGCCTTAGTAACAACTGAGTGGAAAGCAAAGTTTAACAGTAACATAAATGGAATACAATAAAACAGTAGCAATATGCTAAATTCTACAGTCTTCATAATATATTACATGGGAACGCACGTTTCAATGGTTAGTTAAGCAGAACTCACCACTTAAATGAAAACTAAATAGAAATTTGGGTGCAATAGTTAATATTGCCAACCTAACAGCTTCTAAAATCACCCCAGAGACGAGCCTGTTGGGAGCTTACCTAACTGGGTTAATTGAGGAGGTCAGACCCAACATCATTGTGAGCAGCACCATTCCATGGGCTGCTGTCTGTCCAGGACTGCAGAGAAAGCAGGAAGCCAGACCAGCATTCATTGGTCTTTGTGCTCCAACTGCAGACACAATGTGACCAGCTGCTTTGGCTCCTGCTACCAGGACCTCCCTGCCACAACTGCGAACCAAAATAAGCCTTATCTCCCTCAGATGTTTGTGTCAGGATGGTTTTTAATCACAGTCTCAGGATACACACATACACTAACACTGTGGGTATACATAAGCATAGAATAACAAACAGCATAAAACAGAAAACCACCAAGAACGGTGGTGACTTCGGGAGAGGTGAGTCAGAGAGACAGAGACAGAGACAGAGACGGAGAGAGAGAGACAGAGAATGAGAAATATCTACATGGGCTGTTGTCAGCACTTCAAAGAGATATCATGACTTATTTTCATGTTATTAAACTTTAATAATCCAATCAGCAACAGGACGCTCTGTGGAGTAATCAACATGGGATTTCGAAGAATTGAGAGAGATAAGGTTAGTCTAGGACGATGCTTATATGATCCCAAAGTAGAGCCCTAGGGGTGGAGTTCAGTCGGTGGAGTGTTTGCCTCATCTGTACAAAGCCTTGGATTTGATCTCAGCACCCCCTAAACCAAACACGGTAACACACGCTTCTAATTCCAGCACTTGAAAGGAGGATTGAGATCCACCAAGTACGCGTGAGACCTTGCCTCAAAACAAATACACACAGTATCTTGAAAAGGAAATCTCTGAGGCTAAGGGGATGATATATCAGGTAAGAGTACTTGCTGTGTAAGCGTGAGGATTCAATAGAAACATTTAAATGCAGTGGGATGCTCAGTTCTGTGCCAATGCGAAGCTGAAGTTGCCACAAAGAATTCAGCTGAAGCCATGTCCTGTTGTCCCTCTATGCCCCCTGTGGTCCTGTTGTCTCTCTGGCTTCTTTGGGGACCTCTCTCCTGCTTTGACTTCCAAGTGGGAGAGCCCCAGCAGTTTCCCATTTGTTTCTCTGCTCTCTTCCTATGTAATTCCTATGTAATTCTGTAAGTATTCCTATGTAATCTTTCATTGTAGGGCTACTGTGCAAATAGGGCTATTTATGCCAGTGCCTTCAACATGCCTAACTGGAAGGCTTGCGGGCACAGTGCATACCCGCTAGCTCCAATCTGTGGTTTACGTTCCATGATTCTGGTTACTTAAATGATGTGCAGACACTAACAAGAAAGGCCCAGAGACAGATAAATCATGTTTCAAATTGTGGGCCGCTCCGTTGGCACACCTCCCGCTCTCCCACCCGCCCTGCCACTTTACCCAGAGCTGTGATAGTCACTAGGTTTGTTTAAACCCAAGCTGACTATACCTTACGCATGCTGAGGCACATGGGGAAGGCAGAGGGTGGTTCACGTGGCTGGCAGTTGTCTCCTTTTGCCATGTGGTCTTACACATCAAGTTCAGGTCGACAGGCTTGGCAGCAAGCGTTCTACCCATGGGGCCTTCTGCTGTCATCTGCTTTGTTTTATAGTCTAAAGATGATCATTCTTCTGTTTGAAATTATGAAGAATTAGTTGGGCTGCTGTTTGTTTGTTTGGTCTTTGCTGCTATCTACTCAGAACCAATTTCCCCTTTCTGTGTTTTTATAGTTTTTGGTTGAGTTCATGCCCCGCACATTTCAACCTGTGGGAATCTTATGTGAATTACGATAAGGCTCCATCTTTCCAAAGCAGTTTCCATTCACTTTTATCAGACCAATGTGAGTCATCATCGCCTTCTTTCAGTGTTTATTTTCAGGGAAAATATTTCTGAACCATTCAGTCAGTGTAAATTCAAACCCAAACATATATAAGCACCACCATGACCCATCCAAAGATTCTTTATCATTTCCCAGAATCCTAGTATTTTTTTTTTTTGAGAGGGTGGAGGATGGAAAACCATCACTGATCCTGGCTCCATGCCTAGATACATTCCAATCCTCTGCTTTACTAAAACTCAAGGCCAAACTTCCTGCATTCATGTGGCTGTCACGGCTATTAGGAGCAGAAAATTCCCCTATCAGTCCCGCCTAATGTGTCAGTTTCTATTATCATAGCAAAACACCTAAGCCGATCACCTTCCAACGAGAGAAGGTTTATTCTAGTTCACCCTCAAGTATCAGTTGACTTTAGTGTTTTAACAGCCTTAAGGTGAAGCTACATCCCTCAGCAGGAGGGGTGGCAGAGCCAACCCCGAGAGGAGGAGGACATGGCTGGAGTCCCACCTTCCCCTTCAAGGTTTTGCTCTCCCTAAAGTGATCTGAAGACCACACTGTTGAACGTGATGAACATCAGTAATCACCCTCTAGACTAGACTAGACCTTACACTAGAGTTCCTCTAGGTCCCCTAAAGACTCTTCTTTTAATCTACAGGCCTGTTTGGTTCTTAGCACCCACGGTGGTACCTGAAAGCTGCCTGTAACCCCAGCTTCAGTGTATCTAACGCCCCATGGCCTCTGTGGGCACCTGCACACACATGGTGCACATAAACTCATGCAGGTGCACACATTCACATAAGTTAAAGAGATAAAGTTTAAAACTATATATGTAGTCCTTCCTGTGGAGGTCATGTCAATGCTGTAGGGATACTCTACACCTCAGTCACATGATGTAGTTGGTGCATAAATTTCAGAATAGATAACAAAGTTATAGGGAGAAAATTCAAGTTATAGAAAAAGAGGTTTATGACCATGTATTCAACTTAATTTCAAATGGTATAGAAAGTGTTATGTATGTATATAAGTATGTACACATATGTAATATACACTTTATCTATCTTCTATCTACATCATCTATCTCTCTATCATCTATCTATATCTATCTATCATCTATCTATCTACATCATTTATCTATCTATATATCTATCATGATCCATTGAAAAAGCAAGAAGACAAAAAAATCAATGACAGGTCATTCTGGGTGAACGGTAAACCTTACAGTAGCTACTTTTGCTACTTTTTTGTGAGTTTGAAATTTATTATTTACAAATAAAAGCAGATATCAAAGCAGCAAAGCCCTTCTCTGCATTTTAACTGCCCTGGGATGACCTTTAGACCCAGGACAGACGGACTCTAATCCCTGGTTGAATCTCCTCACTTCCCAGAAGCCCACTGGGTGCCACCTGCTCCTCCAAGTGGAGCAGTCCTCACTCCTTCCTATTGTTACACCTGCAGAGTCCGAGGCATACGTCCTCAGATTCCAGCTTGTTAAGTCCTCAGCCCCCATCTCCTTCGAGGTCCATCTGAAAATGATCTTTTCCATGCAATTCCCTAAAACCAAATTTGAGGAAAATACAAATAAAGTCTCACTGTGTGTCCCTCGTTGGCCTGGAACTCGCTATGAGGACCAGGCTTGTTTTGAGCTCACACCTGCCTCTGTCAGGCTCAGGAAAGATGCCAGTCAAAGGTGAGGTACTTAATGAAGCAAGAAAGAGAAACAATATGACATGTTCGATTAGAAATGCAAAATAAGAGGCTTTGGGAAGAATTAGTCGATTGTATTTTAAGTTTTTATAACCTTTTGAAGGATTTATCTTTAATTGTGTGGGGGGTGTGAGTGTGTATGGGTGTGGATGTGTGTATCGGCATGTGCACACGTGTGTTTGAATGTGGATGTGTGCACTGAGTGTTGGTTCCCTTAAAGTGTTGAAGAGGACACCAGGCCTCACTAGCGCTGTGTTTACCCAAGATTGTGAGCTGCCCATCCTCTATGCTGGGAACTGAACACAGATTCTCTGCAAGACCAGAATGTGCTCCTAAACCCTGAGCTTCCAGCTTCTTTTTTTTTTTAAAAGACATTTTCATAAATCTCTTTAAGGGTCAGTGCGCATAGTTTCAAAGTCTTCACTCACTATGAACGTTGGCTTTACTCTTATGCGCTACAGTGAAATATATCACAGTACCACTTCACATGTTCTTTTAAACATGCAGCGCTGTAATTGCTTCTTGACTATGGGCTTCGCCAGCCTCAGAGTGAAAAGGGAACTTCTTCAACTGTCTGTCCTCTGCAACACTTGGCAAGATGCCTGGCGTGTAGCGGGTCCTAAGTAAATTGAGCGGTCATTGTCTAAAGTAAACTAATTACCAGATTTAATTTTAACATACACAAACACACACACTTCTCAAGTTCAACATTGCCATCATCCCAGCAAACAAATGGCAAAGGCTCCGAAAACGTGTTTCCATAGACCTCTCTTCCCGTAGGCAGTCTAATGAATAGGATCTGCTTTTCCCCACCTCTCATCCGCCAAAATGGCGTGTAATGTTTGGGGGAATAAATGTCTATAGGACTGCACCAGCCCAGGCCTTTTAACAGGGAATTTACATGGAGCCAAATCTCATTAGAGTCAGAATTTGAAAATCCCACCAGACGCAAAGCAATTTGTAAGAAACAAAAACTCCATTTCTATTCCATTTGTCTCTGATTTCCGAGACTATGTTTTAAAAATACTTCTGTCTGTTGGTAAATCAGTCTCCGAAGAAACATCACTATCAGTAAAGCTTTAGTGGGTCTAAATTCGTCAGATAAATATGTGTATTCATCTGCGTCTCTGTCTAGAAAATAAGTAATTTTACACTTTGGATCCATGGGAGCAGATACATTAGTGGGTGTTTAAATAAGTGTCACACATACATTAGGTTTTCTAGAGATAAGGAAAAGAATCCCTTCCAGAATTAGAATTAAAATTAAAAATTAAAGTAAATTCATATTTTTATAGTACACAAACTATTGACACTTAGATATACATGGTTTCCCCAAATAGCATTCAAATTTTAGCTAAGAATATTTTTCTTTATCAGTGTCCTCCTGAAATTTTAATATTTGAAGAGGTGGGAAAAGATATTATTTCTTACGATCAGAGTTAAATAAGAATTAACGATTTTATTATCGTTGTTTCATTGGGGGTGCTGGGAGTAGAACCCACAGCCTTGGGCATGTTAACCACTGAGCTACACATCCCTAACTCAAAGTTTTTCCTTTCATAATTTGTTTTCATAGTTAACACGCAAATGAATGCAGTTCATCATGGCATTTTATACATACATACACGTGTATAATACCGGTGTATGTTGTTCACTTTTGCCCCATCATCCTCCGTTCCCCACCACTGCCGGTCCCATCCTTCCTCCCATATAGCTCACCCTTCTACCTCCAGGTCATGTAGGATAATCCCAGATTCTGTACAGGAGAGAAAACACTTAATACATTTGTCTTTCTGGATCTGAACAATTTGACTTGGCACAATGATCTGCATCTCCCCCAGTTTTCCTGCGAGCCACGTGTCGTCCTTCTTTCTGACCGAGTAAACGCCACTGTGTATATATGCCGTGTATACGTGTGTTTCTTATCCATCTGCTGCTGGCCATCTAGGCGGCATATCCGCTATTGTGGACAGCACGGCATAAACATGACTCACACATGCCTCTGTAGGACTTAGATTCCTTCAGGGATACACCCAGGAGTGATATAAAAGGGGCCACGTGGCTGCAGAATTTATTTTTTTTAGAGGACTTTGTATCTCCGCGTTTACTTCCACAGCGATTGCCCCATTACACATTCCCACAAGTAGTGACTAAAGGCTGTGTCCTCCCCGCCCCGTGTCCCTTCCCCTCTCCAGCCAGACGTTCTCACCAGTGTTTGTTTTCTTGGTCTCGTCATTCTGAAAGAGCTGAGATGGAAACTCAATGTAGTTTTGATTTTTTTCTGAGGGTTGAAGATGTTGAACATTTTTTTTTCATGCATTTTTTTGGGGGTTATTTATTTATTTCCTTCTGAGAATTGTATTCATTCCACTTGTACTTTGAGGCAGGCTTTCACTATATAGATCAGGCTGGCCTCTGGCTTCCTATGTAGCTAAGGTTGGCCCGAAGTTCCCAATCCCCCTGCATTTTTACCTTCTGAGTGCTGGGATTAAAGTAATGGACTATTAATGGCTTCATAACTTTTTTTTTTAAAAAATTACAAAGCTGTAGTGTTTTTAATAATATTATAATTAATATTTTGCTTTAAAATTGTATGCACTCATGCTTATCTGTGTGGGAATATGTGCATATGAGTTTATTAGTCCACCGTGGCTGTAAGAGGATATAGGAGACTCTGGAGCTGGAGTCACAAGCAGTTGTGAGTCACCTGAGGACGTGGGTACTGGGACCAAAGGGAGGTGGGGTGCATCTTCTGAAAGGGCGGCAATGACTGCTAACTGCTGAGCCATCCCTCCAGGTCCTCCCCCATCACAGTCTTTACAAGTCAACAAGTCAGGTCTTGCTGCACTGGCTCCTCACAGCCTCCTTCATTTAACAGCTTGGGGTCTATTTTCAGTGCGGCCGATTCTCTCAACAATGTAAAACTTTCGGCTGTGCTGGGGACCAGAGCTTGAGCTCCAGGACTTACAGATTACCCCTGGTCAGCTTTCCAGCACTAATAGGACACGTGGACTCCAAAAGTTGAGAAGCACGTGCCTGGCGACCTGCGGTCCACGCTCATTCCTTAAGCTCCGGTAATTAGCCCCAGCGTACTGTTATCCTTTGCCCAGCGCGTGACATCTCCTTCTGAGAGCTACAGATACATTTGCGGGGACTGAGGAGAGCTAGAGTAAACATACTTGTAAATGGACAAACCCTTGCTGGTCTCGGCCTGGAGAGGAGCTCAATGTGGGCAGGTTGCATACGCGTCACACCAGGAGCCCAACGGCAAGACGTCACCACTCGCGGCCGCAGCTACTGCACCCTAGACTGCGGTGCATCCAAAGTCATGCAAGGGAGGTGGCCAAGAACTCAGTGACCCTCTGTGGGGCTGTTGTCAGGTGACTTCCAACACCGGCTTGCACGGTTTGAGAGTCAAGTATTAAGATATGCAATTCTGTAATATGAGGGATTTAAAGCTTGTAGTATTATTGCCATTCTCTGGGCTAAGTCTCAGGTGACATGTTGTTAGTAGAGATTAAAGCCACTGCAGATGTTCAGTTTCCACATCTATAAGTAAGCGGGTTTGATGGTCGATGGCTGGTGTTGTACTGACAATCAGATTCATTAGTGAATGCCTCACTAACCCATGTTGTAGGAACTTTAATAAGTATATGACATTGTTTTTCAATGACACTTAGGACTTGGACAGTCAGTTCATTTTTACTGATTCCATTGTAGTCTTCTTGATTGCTTTTGTCAGTGGCGGGGAAAGTCACATAACTCAAATAATAAATAACCTCTCAAACAATTTGCGTCTCTTAATCTCGTGGCAGAACCTCTTGCTGCATTTTGTTAGAACCAAATTTAAAACAGCTGTTACTTGAGTTCTCACAAGTTTGCACGATTTAAAATTCAGGATGTGCACGGGGCTCTCTCATTGCCTGGCTTGGTGGTGACATCACATCCTGCTCTACTGTCAGGAGCCAATGAGGAGAATGTGCTGTTGACTCAGGACGGCTGGGAAAACTCACATCCTGGGACCCACCCGCTCCAGGCTCTTTGACAATGGAGATGTGGTTTATAGGGTGGCCGACAACACAGTCTCTGAGACTGGACTGATACTTAGACTTTGAGGTTCTCGACATCTCCCGCAGGATCCCTCTCTCTGTGTCTAGCGTCTGAGAGAGTCGGCAGGTGTTGAAACCAAAGCCTTTGAGACCAACACTGCATGAAGCTGCTGTTTCTGGATCAAGAATAGTTTGGGCCATGGTGCATGAGCTTGAAGGAACACTGTACCTCCGGCCTAGTGAGCCAGCTAACCGCTCCCCAGCCGGCCAATCTAGTTTTCAGCAGTTAATGTCTAAGACTAAGTGCCTTCAGGTGCCAGTCCGCTAGGATGATCAACTCCAGTGCTGTTCCACCAAGGCCCTTGTTCTCTCCATTGGCACAAATCCTCCAACCCTTCCAGAGCCTCACAGCATATTCCTACCCTGGATCTACTATCAGCCTGAATTGCCCTCACCTTCCTGCTCCACCTGGAATCTGGTTTGTTCCTTCAAATGGTTCTCCTGTGGCCCTCCTCTGGGGCTTTCTTACCCTGGGTTTGAAGATAAAGCACGATATTGCAATCCGTGGTGGTATCTTCTATGTGTTTTTGTTGTTCCTTTGCTGTGATTTTTGTTGTCGTTGTTACCTGTTTTAGGGGTTTTGGAGACAGGGTCTCAGGCTGGCCTAGATTCACTGGGTAGCTCAGGCTGACCCCAAACTCACAGCAATTCTTCTTTCTAGGCTTCCCAAGGGCTTGGATTTACAGTTGTTCATCATCTTGACTAATTAAATGTGTGGTTCCTTTTTCTTTCTTTTTTTTTTTTTTTTAAGATGAGACATTCTTAGCTGGCAGAGTCACTTAGTTGGTAGAGTGTTTCACTAGCATGCATAAAACCCTGCGTTCAATCCTGAGCACCCCATAAACTAGATTGATATCATGCCTCTAATCCCAGTACTGGGAGGGAGAAGCAGGCAGATCAGAAGTTCAAGGTCATCCTCGGCTATATTGAGAATTCAGGGCTAGCCTGGATACAAGGCACCTTGTCCTAAAAAGGAGTGTCTCTTCTTTCCTCCAGAGTCATCTGCTATGCTTTGGGGGCCCTCTCCCCTGAATCTGTTGTCAGTCCATCTCCCCTGAGGCCGATGTCAATCCACTTGTGAGCATTTCTTTACGACCTTCCCCTCCGGCAAGCTCTCATCTCTGAGCTGCTTTGCTGTTTGTGGGGGGGTTGTTTTTATAGACCTTTGCCATCTGCCTCTCCCACCACACAGCCATTGCACATTGGGACCCGTGGGGATCACTGGGCAGTGGGGAAGTCAGTATTGCTCCTCTGTATGCAGGAGCCGCATGGAGTTGCTGGATACTTGAATGTGGCTTCTGTGGCAGGAACTGTCTTTTTTTCAGTTTAATATCGTGACAATCGCATACATATAACAAGTGTGCTATGATTATATTCCCCACGTTACCTTCTAGTATCTCCTTCAGTTTTCCCCTGAACCTCTTTTTCCTACCTGGTCTCCCAGTGACCGTTCCGTTAGAGAACATATCCCCAGACCAGAAACCGCTAATAACCCTTCATTCCTCAGCAGAGGTGGGGCCTCGTGTGGTCCAGCCTCGTGCAGGTATCCACAGCCGCTGTGTGCTCCTGGTTTCAGCAGCCATGTGAGATCTGCACCCCACCAGGTCAGGACACTGTTCTCCATCCTCCAGCTCTCAGTTTCCCTCCCACCTCTCTCTTCCGCAGTGTTCGCTGTTGCTTTTGTGCATGCGTATGCGTGTGTGAGACACAACACCCTGTCGAAGGTTGAGGGCTCGTTGGTCACTTACTCTCGACATTTTGACTACGTAGGAGTCTGCGCAGTAATTGTAACCCCCTACTAAAAAGAACTTCTCTGCTCCAGGCCGAGATTAGCACGAATCTGCAGTACAAACAGAAACATTAGAGCGCAGTTGAATGGCATGTTCATTTAGAGGAATGATGAAAACGTCCCTCTCTTTCCCTCTCTCTTGCCCCTTCTCTCCCCAGCCCCCTTTACAGTATCAGGTTTGTATTCCATCCTGAGAAGCAGCTCTCAGATCCAACCACAAAGCAGTTGGTTGTCCCCAAAACGGTCAAGTTGCTATTGCACCTGTGGGCGCTTCTTGCCCAGTAGGGTAAGCAGCTTACATGGTGGAGACCATTTTGCGTTCTCCCCTCCACCCCCAGCCAGCTTAGCGCCTTCCTGCGCTCTGAGAGCCGGCGATCAGGAGGGAGTTTGCAACCGTTCCACCTGAATGTCTCTGCACCCTGTGCTCATTGCATGTGGTGCCTTCAGCAGCACAGCCTTGCACCCAGTACTGGAGGGCACTCAAGAGCAATGAGAGCAGCTCGCACCTTTAAAAAAAAATTTATTTGTATTTGTGTGTGTGTGTTTGAGTGCATGCGTGTACATGGTTGTGCACGTGACACATGCCATGAAGGCTAGAGGAGGACATTAGATGCCCTGAAACTGGAGTCAATGCAGTTGAGAACCAGTCATGTGAGTGTCAGGATCAGAACTCAGATCTTCTGGAAGATCAGCAAATGCTCTTAACTGCTGAGCCATCTCTTTGGCCCCAGTAGCCTGTATTCTCTCGGGGGCCTCTAAGAGCTCTCTGGCTAACTGCTCATAGGGAGGTATCCTATACCTAGTACTTGGGCTTTTGTCTAGAAGCCCATGACCTGTAGGAGCAACAGCATCTAACCATGAAAGGTAAGCGTGAGGAGATGAATCTTTATGTGTTTATCCGTATCAATATTACCCATGCTTCCAGGTGCCATATGTCCCGTGCAGGTTTGGCCCTTCACCAAGCCAGGTTTCTTGCAGTTAGCAGTCCTAACTCCCCATCTGAGCTCAGGGTTCTCTGTTGTACCCCATCGGATCACATCAGCACAGCTTTAGCGCTTGCCTACACAGCGCCCACCGTTTATCATATCTTTGCCGTGTACTGATTTGGTTGTATCCTCCTTGCTTACGGTTGTATCAGCAGCATTTAGCACAGCTCCGGGCATATGCGAAACAATGTTTTCATGCATGCATGCATGGGTGAGTGAATGAACATGGTGGGAGGAAGGAGAAGAAGGGATACAGGTTAAACCTGATGAAAACTATCATTGGTGGCCCAAGGGGAAAAATGGCTGTACCATTGGAGTTAGGGAGACCCCATCAAGCTGACCTGGACAGTCTACCTCCCAAGCAGGTGCCCATGGGCACAAAGATTGCTGACACTGACCCTGAGCCGAAGGCAAGCTCCCTGCCCTCATTGACGGTGCCTTCTTGCGTCACCTGCTTGTGCAATTGCTGTGACAAAGGCAGCCGAAGGAAAGGAGAGTTTACGTTGACGCACAGTTTGAGGGCATAGGCCTCTGTAGCAGGAAGGGCATGGTGGCCGGCGTGTGAGGCAGCTGGTCACATTGCTTCCTCGGCGAGGAAGCAGGGACAGATAAATGCTGGAGCGCAGCCCACTTTCTCTGTCTGGGAAGCCAGCCCACGGAATCGCGCTGCCCACATTTAGGGTGGGTCCTCCCACCTCAGTTAAGCCAACCTAGAAAGTCCTTGACAGACGCGAAAGCCGGAGCTGTATTTCCTGTGTTTGGAGACCCTGCCAAGCTGACAATCAGTGCTAACCGTCACACGTCTCATTATCCGCGTTCTGTCAGGTTACTGTTGGCCAAAGTGCAGCTGTCAAAACAACATCCTCCCGCAACAGGACAATGAGCCTGATCGTTTATCCCAGCACACTCGGGCTGCTACTTCTCCTCGGTAACTTTAAAAACACTGGGGCAATGTATTTGAAAGTAAAACACGTTATTTCAACACCTGATCCACTCACTCTAACATATGGCTTACATCTTAAATGTGTTTTTAAAGGATTATATATTCTCAATTTGATAGGATTATAATTTACCCTATTTAAGGGTTATGCAATTGAACGTAGGCATGTAATTTTTCTGGAAACAGATGCAGTATGAGCTATAATATCCTAAAATATTCCTGCTGTCTCTCCCCCCGATAGTCCCCCGGGGAAAAATAGGAAATATTTAAACTCAGGGAGGTTGTTCCACCTTTGACAACTCAATTTTTTTTTAGCAATAGGTTCAAGAATTTCTTTCTAATGTCAATAATTTTTGAGGATTCTGCATTTTATGCTAATTATACTTTTAGTATTCAGTTTAGTGCAAAACATAATGGTAAAAGCTATAAACCCAGAAATGCTCTGAAATAGTCTATTAATCACCATAGTACTTACATGTTCATAAAAGACCAGTACAAATATACGCACCCTATCATTTATCCATAATATCAACAGCGTTTGTGGTGGGAATCCACTCACACAGCTGCCCCATACCCTCCACCGTGTTCACTGTTTGTTCTGTTGTGAAGTGTATTTGGTAATTGGACTTCTCGGATGTGTGTGCATCCAATATTTAGAGTAGGAAACAGAATAACTAAACAGGGATAATGTTAGCCAAAATATAAATAATCACAGTAATACACACACACACACACACACACACACACACACACACACACACAGACTTCACAAGAGACTGGCCGGTGGGGGCCGGGCTGGGATGTTCTAAGAGCCCTGGTGGTCTGTCCCCACAGCGCAGTAAAGCTGCATTTGAACTGTAGTAGAAATTGCCGGGTGATGAGGTTATAGTCTGTAATGAAACACTGCCCTATTCTTCAGAGGCCTGAGGTGACCTCTCTCCCCTCTACCCCTTGACTACACCCAATAGACCCTAAACCTCCAGTAAGCCTTTTGTTTCAGGCCCACTTTAATGAAGTACGATAAATACAGAAACCGGGTCAGCGTCTGTCTCAGGACAGATCAGACTATCGTGCCGACGTCTAGTTACTGCTACCTGCGTTTTCCTTTATTCGAATCGTATTTTAGCTGCAGAGCATTCGCTTATGGCAGGCATGCCTTCATGATGTCTTGATCAGCCTGGCTTCTGCATAAAAAAAAAACCCTCCAGTTTTAAAGTCATCTCCACCTTCGTTCCGGTGTGGACGAGGAAAGTATTTACGAGGCCATAACCCTGAGACCATCTCTAGAGTCCCTCTTAGCCCGTGACGTGTTTTCCTTGGCGTGGTCCATATCAGAACCCTGCTATTGTGTTGCTTCGGGTGCAGTTAATAGACTCACATCTGTAAGCCTTCCATCCAATCCAGTGGCTGGATTTTTTTTTTTTTTGAAGGCATCTAAATGAGTCATAGGAAACATCTGTTGAACCAAGACCAGGTTGTTTAGGTTGTGCTAACTCTGAACTACTGAATCATAAGCTCACCTCCTGATGAATCTCATAAACTCGTGAACCACCAAGATCATGATGTCAAGCCCTTTCCTGCAATAATTCTACTTTTGCCTGTATCCCCAGAGGAAGGTTCCTTTGTTTTGAAGGCTTGTACTTTCCCAAATGGCTTCTTCGCCTAGTCATCTTCTAAGATACATAGGGACAATTTGATGGTACCTACCTGCCCAGATGGGCAAGTTCATTCCCACACGGCTTCCTATATAATGAGGTTATACAGCATGCCTTGGGGAGTGCTCTGAGCTACCCTTTATTGCTCATATTGATTCGTAATCAGTTTCTCCTGCGAATTTAACAATTAATACTAATTTGTCACACAAGGCAACCCAGACTGTTTCCAAGACTGTCTTGGCACAATAGACACTCAGTAAATTTTACTGAAAGAGTGAATGAATTAGCATATGGTCTTGGGCGGGAAAGCCGAAGGCTCAGCTCTCTTTCCTGCCACCGCAGTACTGGAAGGGAGGATGGGGAGTAGCAATCGTCAGCTTTATGGGATCAAGATCACCTAGGAGACAAATCTCTGGGCAAACCCGAGGAGAAATTTCTTGATTGGATTAACCGGCCTGTTTAGGGGAACTAACCTAAAGGTGGAATAAAGGCACCATCCTGTGGGCTGGGGTTCTGGGTGGAATAAAAAAGGGAGAAGGTGGGCTGAGCCCGAACTTTCATCCCTCGCCACTGCCTGGCTGCAGATGCGGTGCAGCCGGCTGCCTCATGATCCACTTCCTTTTAAGTTTATAGGAATATATACACATTTCATTTTATTACAATCCAGCTAAGATGAAACGGAACAACTCTTCCTGTAACTAGTTGACTTATGCACTAGTCCCGGGCACTTAGGGCCACTTCTAGGGAATGTTAAAGAAACCAAATTAGAGCTGGAGAGATGGCTCAGTGGTTTGAGCACTGGCTGCTCTTCCAGAGGCCCTGGGTTCAATTGCCAGCACCCCACATGGTGACTCACATTTGTCTCCAACTCCAGTTCCAGGGGACTTGAAGCCTTCTTCTGACCTCCATAGGCACCTGGCACACACATGGTGTACTTACATGCATGCATGTAAAATTCCCATATGCATGAAATAAAATAAATCTCTTTAATAAAAAAAAATCAAAGTCTGCTTTGGCCAAAGAGCTTCCACAGTTTCTCAGAGTTTTCAGCTGTCTCAGATGTAACAGAATACAAAATTTTCTATGTGGAATTCCAGGGTAATTAAAACTCTTAATAATTATCTTTCCCAATGGCTCTGCCTTTATTGGTTGGCAATTAATGATTTGACTTTTGACCAATGTACAAGAAAAAAATAATACTTTCTCAGAAAACTTGGGATAACGGATACATTTCCTAGCTCTAAGATGCCGCTGGGAATTGACCCCAATAGTCACAGATGTAATTTCAGTGTGTGAAATCCACCGGGAACTCCATTCTAGTAAGAACCAAGTGATAGCTGCTTATTCTCTTACTCAGGAAGTGGTCCCATGGCTTCCCTTATTGCAGGCCTTCCCACAGTGATCTCTCCAGCCTACGATAGACACAGGCCTGGACTGTGGCAGTGACATTGGTTCCAGGATCTCATGCTGGCCTCCCATGGGCTTCTCCATCCTTTTGATTTCTGAGAAGTGAATTCCGATGTGACCTAGAGAGCACAAAAGAGACAGAATTTATTACAAAGTGAGGTAGTGTGCACCCAAGACCAGAGAGAGAGAGACTCAGAGAAAAACACTCTAGCAAGGAAAGGCGAGCAATGGCCAAAGAGACCACTCAGAGGTAGACATCTCCTTAACAATGTATGTATGTATGTATGTATGTATGGATGGATGGATGGATGGATCACACAGAAGTAGACATCTCCTTAACAATTTATATATGTATGTATGTATGTACCACTCAGTGGTAGACATCTCCTTAACAATTTATGTGTGTATGTATATACCACTCAGAAATAGACATCTCCTTAACATTTTATGCGTGTATGTATGTATGTGTGTGTATATGTATGTATGTATTTATGGACATCCGTATATTCATAACTTATGTATGTTAAGACATCTCCTTAGCAATTTCTTTATTCATATGGATGGATGCTTTGCCTGCATGTGTGACTGAGAGTGATGAGCATGTAGTGCCCGAGGAGGTTGGAAGGGAGGGTTGGCTCCCCTGGAATGGGACTTACAGTTGCTTGCCAACATGTGGGCACTCATGTCCTCTGCGACAACAGCAAGGCCCTTAAGTGCTAAGCCGTCTCTCCAGCCCCAGAGAAGGATGCTAGATGAGAGATCTTTGCACCACACACATTTTTATGTAGGCATGTGTGTATGTGTGCGTGTGTGTGTGCATATGTGTGTGTGTGTGTGTGTGTTTGAGCTGGGTCTCATGTAGTTCGTAGTCAAACTGACTATGTACCCTAGAATGACCTTCAACTTCTGATCCTTTGGACTCCACCTCCCAAGTAATATGATTACAAGCACACGTCCCACTGTATGCAGTACTGAAGATTAAATCCGAGGCTTGCGTGTGCTGGGTAAGATTGCTACCAACTGAGAGATACTGGTAGTCCCCACTCGGGTTGGCTTTCTTAGGACAGGGGCCAATGCTGCGTCTTTGCTCTTTATCAGAAAGCCTCTGGTTAGATAGGAATCGTGCGCTGTAGGAAGTTTAGAATGTTCCGTCTCCACCCAGGTCAGAGGTAGTGACTCACAGCAGGTCTTTGGAGCAGGAGTCAGTGTCCTGCAGGGACAGGATCTTGTGCTGTGAGCTGAAGATTACCAGGCAGGGTCCAAGCTCCCTGACCTCTAAGCCTGCTGTCACCTAACTAGCTACTGGGATCCTCATGGTGACCTCACCAAACTAACAGCTCATCAGAGGGGTGACGGAAGCCATGACCCTAGGCTACAGAGTGACTCAGCATGTCCCAGATGTCCCCCACATCTCTATGACAACCCCCCAACTTCGTGGCAGCTTTAGTTAGGCTCCTAGGAGTTCTTAGCTTTTTGCTGCAAATCAAATCATTTTATTTCATAAAATATTCTTTTTTCGGTCTCTTTGAAGAGTATGAGCCAGGATACAGGAAGGCTGGAAGCTGGTTTCGAGAATGTTTAACCTCTCACAATATAGACCGGCATTATCTAAGAGCCTGGATGCAGCCAGCTTAGGCTCTGGGAAAACAATCTACACAAAAGATGAAGCACAACTTGGAATAATTAGCACAGTCTTCAGGACTAATGAAACGATTATTAAAGTTAAACATTAGTCTACACAAAGCAGAATCTTCTTCTAAAACAGAGCAGAGACATGTCATTGTCCAGCGAAGCATTTATTTTCAAACTAAAGCCAATTAAGATGCTGGGCTGTGGGCCATAACTCCCGCAGAAACCAACATAGACTCTCCGTGGCTCTGACAGCCAGCCCAGGGAGGAGGATATGGTAGAAACTGAACTGAGTTTCACAGCAGCACTAACACAGAATAGACTCGATGGAGGTCAGGCTCGCTCTGCACACCGGTGTGGGCCAAGGGAGTGCCCGAGCCCAATCAGCCTGCCCAAGGCTTCAGCAACCCTCTGATCCGCACTCAGAATTCAATAGCAAGATGCGTCCGCCAACAAAAGGAACCTGGAAATGTGCCAGCCCATTGGGGCTAAAATGATGCCTGCCTCAGCAGGGCCCACCAGGCCAAGCGTTTATGGGAATGGCCTGGCAGCGGGACTGACACGCAGCTCCTTATCTGGCGAGGAAGAAGGGTTGGCTGGATGATGTTCTTAGACAATTTATCAAACGGACGGAGAGGTTGTTGTGGCATCTTTGGAGATGGCGTGGCTCTCCCATAGCATAAGTCCCCATGCCATCACTAAACATGTAAACTTTTCCTGGTGTGAGAGGAACAAACCAAACACCTATTACCTCGGACACCAGTGATAACCAAGGTACCAGCCGAACTAAGTCCTGCTTAACAAACCAGTGAGTTCATTGGGCTTGTCACAGAGCATGAGGGAGGAGTTACTTATAGGGTCTTGTGGTGACTCTAAACCAGCTGCATCCCCACAAAGTCCTACCCTTCATGGACAATGGCCTCATGAAACACTCCTTCTCAATTAATTTTGCACTAACCAATCTCTCGAGATCAATTGCAGCTGAGAGGTGAGCGAGTGGAGAAACAGCTGGAATCCCTCCTCCTTCTACCAGGAAGTGTCGGTAGCTCTGTTACCATTACCGTAGACCCAGCTATCCCTGTAAAATGTGGCTCAATCAGTTGCCATGGCTACTGGACCAAAGAAATATCTACTCCAAAATGACACGGGATGCTTGAGTTGTACCTAGAGAAAGGGCCATTCTACGGCTGAGATAGAAACCGAGTGGTAAACAGTGCTGGCTCACGGCAAGCTAGAGGCAGGGTTCTGGTGGTCGCATCCAGCACACTAGGCAGTTGACCGGGGACCTCTTAGCTCTCCCATAGTCTCACACAGAGCCTAAAGAATCCCCGCACTCCCTCAGCACACCAGAAACTGTGACCCCCACCGAGCAAATAGCAGGAACCAAAAGCTTTTCCTGCTCCGTGGCTTTTCCCTTCAGGCATACCATGACCATCCCATTGCATCACCGAGATAACACTGGCCTTGTAGTCATGGCAACAAAATAAGCAGAACAATACAGTGATAGCTAAGTCAAGTTGTCCTGGGATGAGTAATCCTCTCTCCTTAGAATCACTGGTCCCTCACCTGGGGTTCACCCATTGTTTCCTCCTGCCCCTCAGCTGCATGTGGTTGTGGGATGTGTGGTCAGACAGAAGGTGGGAGGCTGGCTGGAGGAAGAGTTCCACGGTGCTGCTTTGGTGGGGTCCTACCCTTGCTGAGGTGGGACTTCTCAGTGCTGCGGCTGTGTTTGGGTCACCCCTGCACTCATTAGCTCATCGCAGTGGACTTGGGTAGAATGTCTCCTTTGGTTTGGAATTAGCTTCTTGCCATGGGCATGTAGATGTCTGTTCCTATCTCCCCAGAAAAAGGAACAGAACGCCTCACAATGGAGAAGAACTGAGGTCCAAAGGTAGTTCTGTGGTAGATAGAAAAACAAGACCAAAGAAAAGGGGGGCAGCAAGGGATGGGTATGTGTGTCACCTCTTCCTCCCTGAGCCTTCTTGCCTGAGAGCACCACTCACTGCGCTCAGCTATTTGTCACACAGCACAGGTAAATTTTGTGTCACATCCAGAACTGGAGACGGTTTTCTTTAAGTGACTTTTCAGAGTAAGAAAATGAGGGTGGTATCAGCAGAGATGAGCCACCCGAAACAGGGTGCTATCTACACACAAACCACCCTTGTGTTAGGAATACAAGGGTAAGCCTGTACAGAAGCAGTAAGGTAAAATACCCAGGAAAACACAGAGAGAGAGGCATAGCATGGCTATAGGTGCCTACCATGCCTCTTGTGTCCACCAAATCCCTGTTCCTTTGCTTGGAGCCGAGCTCTGCAAACCACAGCTCATGGGAAGACGGAGGAGCCATGGCCACTGGGGTAAAACCACTCAACTTAGCCACTCTGTGCTCCTGGACTAGAATCAGGCCTGTCCTAAGCCTGCAATGAGGAAAGTCTTTGGGTTCCGGCCAGACAACAGGGATCCAACCTAAAGAGTTTACGAGCACAGCTGTCTCCTTATCTAACTGGGCAGCTTGGAGAGTTACTGCCTGACTCACAGGAGAGCAGGGTCACTTCCATGCCTGGATTTGACTTGAGGTTCTGGTTCCATGAAAGCCTGGCTTGACATCAGAGGCCCCAGGCTTAGCTTGTAGCAGCTCTTAGGTTTGGGTATCTCATGGGCTCGGCACGTGTAGGATGGGGTTGCTGAACCAGAGCAGGTTTTCCTAGCCGTGCCCCTCCGTTTGTGTGTGTGTGTGTGTGTGTGTGTGTATGACTGGAGCCCAGCAGTGTCTTCTCCAGTTGCTATTCACCTTGTTTATTAAGACAGGGTCTCTTACTGAACCTGAAACTCATCGATTCAGCTTGACCGACTGGCCAGGGACCTGTCTGTTTTTATCTTCCCACCTCTGCCGCCACAGAACTTGCAGGTGTGTACTGCCTTGCCCAGATTTTCACACGAGTCCGTGGATCAAACTCAGGACTTCCACACTTGCACAGCAAGCGTCTTACCCACTGAGTCACTTCCCCGGCTGGCTTGACTTTCTCTTGAAGAAAAGCCATTAAGGACTTCCTTATCGTGAAATCCAATGGCCCTGCTTCTTTTTCATGGGGCTGCCTCTGTCACCCACCCCAGGACAAGGACCCTCTTCTTTCCTAGTGTTCATCTTTCTGTTCCCTTCAACAGCGGCAAATTCGGTCTTGCCCAGAGCCTAAGTGGCAGTGTCCCCAGTAAGCAGCCAGAGGGAAGCCACCCACCCACGGTTCAAACTCCTCACCGTGCCGACGGCCCCCAGACTTTGGTCTCCAGCGCTGATCCTTTGGCTTGTTTCCATTCATCTCAGAATTCCCAAGTGCAAAATGGCTGACTCCATGTCTGGGGTTCACGCAGTTCTAAGCACTAAGAATGTAGTGTCACAGGGAGTCTGCCAACACAAACTGAGTGTGTCAGCTGCCTGGGAAGAACAATTGTCTTGTCTCCCACCCTCCTCTCCTCTCCTCTCCTCTCCTCTCCCCTCCCCTCCCCTCCCCTCCCCTCCCCTCCTCTCCTCTCCTCTCCTCTCCTCTCCTCAGATCTTCCTTAGAGAAATGGAACGGAAGCGATCAGCCTTTCTGTGGGGTACATTCAGGGAGACACCTCCGCCTTGTGGATGCCCACAGGAGGACTGACAGATGTGTGTGGACTAATCAATACCTCATGCTCTCCATGTCCTTTCCCCAAATCTGCTACCCCAGTGGATGCCACAATGACAGAGATAACACTTGCAGTGCTGGGCTCTGTGCCGGGCTGGGCACTGCCACGTACTACTTTTTGAGATCTTCTCAAACACCCCCAAAGCAAACATCACACTGACGAGGAAATGGGGGTCTCAGGAAGGTTGAGGTATCTGGCTCCATGTGCACGGAAGAGCTGAGCTTCTCGAAGATGTAGGAACTCCACTGTGACCCACTTCCCTGCGAAACCTCTCCCATCTACTGATTCATGTCGAGAGGGCTCACAGCAGCTCCCACCTGCAGGTAACCAAATGCCTACTCTATGCTGAGCCTTGTGGACAACAAATGTTTAGAAGAAGATGCCACCCATGAGCTTGAGCAGCTCCCAAGGACAACCCCAGAGAAGACACCGAGGCCTACAAGGGCCAAAGAGACTTTCCGGGAAAGGGTTCTGCATACACAAAGGCTACCAGTTCAGCATTCCAGGGCCCCCATCCTTGAAGAAGCTCCCAGCTGCGGGGGGCCTTGCCTGCAGGGTTTCAGATTTAGTTATCAGGCTTGGCTGTCTTTCTAAAGCTCTTACTATACATATAATTTCCATTCAAATTCAAAATCCTACCGATTATTGTGTGAATGCAATGTTACTCAAGGATTTTTTCCCCTGAAAGAGCACCTATCTGACATGCATTTTTAATTTTATGTGTAATATGCAAATGTCATCACTGTAGTTGTTAACAGCAGTGCAGGATTGCAATTAACTATGGAGCTGTGCATTTTAGTTATATGCTAATGCTAATGAGATTTTCATAAAGCAACTCCAATTACCAGCCCTATTTTTTTAGCTGCAAGAGCTATTGCAAAGCAAAGGTGTTGCCTTCCTTTGGAATAAATTACCCTTTGTCCTTGGCTCCCTCATCATATTCAATCATCCTAAAAAGTAACTCCTGCTTCTTACTGTTTTATGCTGCCTTGCTCTCTGATAGGATATTAATGGAGACTGTGGGCAAGCCTGTTTAGAAACCAATTTGCCCTGTGCAGGCAGCGGGGAAACTTCCTCCTGGTGTATACTGCCCCAGCCCAAGAACAGAGCTTCCAGTGGCCCAAGTAAACAGGAGCTGCAGGAGACTGAAACTCAGACAGTGAGTTAGCAAAAATAAACCACAAGAGAGCACAGGGCGGCGCAGCCTTGGATTGAAGATGCCAGGCTGTGAACGGGCATTTATGGTCAGACACACCACTGGCGGAGAACAGCTCCTTTAGAATGATAGATTCTGTCATTCATTCAGAAGACAGTTCTACGGTCTTAAGCCAGCAAGATGGCTCAGCAGGTAAAGGTGCTTGCCCAGCAAGCCTGGTGACCTGAGTTCAATTCCCTGATTCTGTGGTGGGAAGAGAACTGACTCCCAAAAGTCATCCCTGTGTGCCCACACTTGCTCACAGGACACATGCGTACACATGATTGAAAAACAACAAAAACAAAAACACAAGTATGGGAAATCAGTCCTGCTTTGGTCTGGGGATGCGGCTCGGTTAGCAAGAATGCTTGCTCAGCAGGCACAAACTCTGGATTTGATCTCTAGTACCCCACGAACAGGGCGAGGTGGTACACAGCTAAATTCCCGGCACTCAGAGGGTCAAGAGTTCAAAGTCAGCCTCAGAGTACCCAGTTGGACACCAGAGATTGGTGAATCAAATTAGAGAAGGGAGAGAGATCCTGAGGTTTGATTTTATGACTGTAGTAATTATTTTATTTTATTTGAGACAGAATCTTAGGATGTAGCCAGGCTGCCCTCCTGCCTCAGCCTCCTGAGTGCTGGGATAACGGGCATCAGCTACCATGGTCAGTGTTTATAGCTTCCTTTATTGAAGCTGCCTAGTTCAAGAATCTTGTGGGTAGTGAATAACTGAGCAGGCGCAACACCGGCCTCCAGTGAGGGCACAGTCAAGTAGGACGTAAATACCGAAGGCAATTTTGGAAGAAAAAATGGCAACTGTTATGGCATGTGTATAGATTTATATTTGGACGGAAGCACAAATTGAGAAAAGCAAATTGGTTTGAAGAAAAGAGTCAAGAAATACCACGGAAGCGGAACTTGTGGGGATTGAGCGTTTGTTAGGAAAGGGGAGGGAGGCCGTCCCGGGAACAGCATGGAGAAAGAGGTGGCAACAGCAAATGTCAGTGGGTCCCTGGAAGCGTAGAGAACGCCCCACACCAAAGTCAGAAGGGCTTCTTCTTTGCTATTGCATGGGGTATTTTTGAGACAGTGTCATTTGTAGCTGGCCTAAGCTGGCTTTGAATTCACTACACAGTGCAGAACGGCCTTAAGGTTTTCATTCTTTGACCTCTACCTCCCCAAGGGTGGGGTTGCTGGCACCAGGGACTGAACCCAGAGCTTTGCGTGCGTAGGTCAAGCACTCTAGTGGCTGAGCTCTTCCCAGCCTGGAAGATGGTTTGTGGAGGAGCAAACAATGAACCATTCCCCCACAACTGCTCCTTGGAGCACCACGTGGAGGGAGGGCAGGGTGGACGAGGAGGAGAAGTAAGTCTCCTGGGCACAGCTCTCTCTTTTTGGTTGCCTCTGGCAGGACCCTTTCAAATGTCAAAGCTGATCTAGAAGTGAATCAGGGCTTCTTGTTTTATTTTGTTTTCCTCTCATGCAGATGTTTTCTGTGTCCCTCTGGGAAGCAAGGAAACAAGTGCTCTTGTATTCCGAATATTTTCATTAGGGAGAAAAATGTGAGGGGTAAGAATGAATACACGAGGATGTTGATGTAGGGGTTGGGGGTCTTTCCTGCTCTTAGTTAACGTCTACACAAAAACAAAGAAGACGTCGACGCCAAATTACCAGAGAGGAAAAAGAAAGGGAGAGATAAGGAAGGATAAAAATGCCAGGCAAACTAGACTAGAGTCATTTATGGGTGGTGGGGGCTGCAGTTTCTTCTTCCATACCAGCCTGCTTGCCTGCTCTGGTCAGGATCTGGGAAAGGACAAGGGATCATGGAACCTTCAGAGTCAAGTCAAGATGGACGTGGTTGAAGTCCCGCCTCACTGAAAAGATAGGCAGCTCAGCATTGGTATGGGAGAATGGTCTGTATTCTGTCAATTATATTTTAAATAAATGCTAATTGGCCAGTAGCCAGGCAGGAAGAATAGGTGGGACAACCAGATAGGAAGTAGAGGCGGGTCAATGAGAACAGGAGAATTCTGGGAAGGAGGAAGCCCATTCCTTTGCAGTCCTGATCCCATCACAGAAGAAGCAAGATGTAACTGCCCGGCTGAATAAGGTACTGAGCCACATGGCTAACACAGATAAGAATAATGAGCTATTAATGGGCTATATAAGTTATAAGAGTTAATAAGAAGCCTGAGCTAATGGGCCAATCAGTTTATAACTAATGTAGACCTCTGTGTGATTTCTTTGGGACTCCAAAACTTCTGGGCAGGACAGAAAATTCAATCAACACAGCATCTCAGGACAAGGTTAAGCAGTGGATGAGTGGGAGGAGGGGTATCTGCCAGGCTCTTCTATTGGTGGGAATGGGAAGTCTCACAGAGAGAAGGAAGGGTGTGAGCTAAGGACAATCAAGGTTTGAACAAGGAGATCATGGGGAATGGTCGTCCAGGACTTGGTGACTGATGACTTTAACAGAACCAAGGATGGGGCTGACGCATGGCAGAGAGCAGAATGCAAGCGTGGCCTGAGCACTGAAAGCCAGACAGGAAGGTAAAGCTAGTCAGGGCAGTGGGCACCATGCTGGCTATTCAGAGGAAGTGAGGCTGGGATGGAAGGCGGAGGTGGTGTGTGAGGTCACTGGATAGTGACTAGGTCAGAGAGCCCAGTGGTGGCTGATTAGTTGGGTCACACGAAAGAATCTGCTACAGGTGCTGAAGTCCTCTGTGGGTGTGGGAGAAAAACTAAAGAAAACACTGCAGAAGAACAGAGGGATCTTGCTGACATAGTTTCCTCTCCTAAGAGGCTCTGAACTGTATTCATGAACCCTGTCCAGCTAATAGATCTGGGGCTAACACATTCTCCCTGGCAAGACGTTATAGATGAAAGAAGCTGAGATGTGGCCCAGTCAGCCAACTGCTTACCTGTTGTGCATGAAACAAGCCGGGCATGGTGGCACACAAATGTAACCCCAGTCAGTACCTGGGAGGTGAGACAAGGCGCTCAGAAGTGTTCAAGGCCATCCTTGGCTGTCTCAAATAAACAGATAGGAAAAGAGGACATCATGGTTGAGAAGGATCTGCACATCCTGGTGTCAGGTATTATACTGGGCCAGGTGACAGCCCCGAAGGTTTAGGATATGTTCAAGTTTGCAGATATGATCGAGTTTGAGGCCGTGATGTTGGGATACTCTCTTACAGTGTCCAGGCAGGCATGAATGCAATCTCGGTGTCTCTGTGAGAGAGAAAGAGGGAGAACCGGCGGACTAAGGAAGCTCCCATACACTCTGGTCAGACAGAGGGAGGCTAGAGGGGGTACTGCCATAGCCTAGGGATGCTGGAACCATCAGGAGCTGCAGGAGACAAGGACCAGCTTCTCCTGCAGAACCTTCAGAGGGTGCAGAACCCCACTGGCAACTTCATTTCACCCCAGTGATGCTGATTCCGGCCTCCGGGAGAATACATTTCTGTTGTTCTAAGTACCAGGCCTGTGTTAATTGTTACGGAAGCTATGGGTGACCACTACAGACACAGCTGTGAAGGGTACCATGGTTGGAGCTGCGGTGGCTA